GCCCTTTCTGTTCCAAGTTCTAAAAAAGATTTCAACCTGTTTGAACTTCTATATATATATATATATATATATATCTATATTTCTGCATCCTTTGGGGATGAGTTTGCAAAGTTCTGATGTTGTGTGGAAGGGATATTGTTCCAAAAAACACTAGCATGACATTGGGCTATTTCAGGAGGATGTTGATGGGAGTGCTGACAGTGCTTTGTCCCACTGTGGCATTGAGGTGTTGGCACCTGCTTTAGACGATGGTGTGCTTGTGTTCCCCTTGATGCCATTCACTAGTCCATAGTTTTCATCCAACCCTTGTTTTAGTGCCAGCTTGCCAATTTGAGGCCGGTGGTCTGGGCACACTCTCTGCAGAAGCCTTTTGTTTTCATCCTGAACAAGCTTTGCCAGGCGTCCTTTAGCTCTCCCACCACCACCCCTCTCTGAGCTTTAGTTTCGTACTGTTCGAGATTCTCAAGGCTGATAATGAAAGAACAGTTCCTGTTTTCGAATCGCAGGAAAATAGCAGTCAGTTTTATTCTGCCCAGTCATCCTGGAGCAGCAGTCCTGCTGTGAGAGGCATGATAAATGGGTTCATGTGTCTTTAATCTCACCCTGACCGTCTCTCATCACCGCTGGCTCTTCAGCTGTTGACCTCCGACTCGCCGCTGACTTCTGACCCTCCTCATTGTATCTCCTTGTTCATAGCGAGTCCCTCTCACAAAAGACGGCTCTCCATTTCAGGTCTCTGTATTGATTCGATCCTGCAGCACAAAAACACATTCCTCTCTCCTCTATTAATTCTCATGGCACAGAGCTTCTCAGTCCTCGACCATGAGGACCATTTCTTGTTGTGGATGTGTTTTACCTTGAGGAAATCACTGGGCTATGTCCCCTGATAAGGATATATTTACCCAGCTCCAACACTATATCACACCTGCCTTTCACGGTAGCTGGTTCTAAATCTCATTGGACCAGCTAGTATTCCCTTTTCCATTATACTGGACAAGTGAAGCCGATACACCAAGACTGAATGCAGATGTGTGTTGTTTTTGTTTTTGCATCCATATGCATACTTGCATTGTCTTTAAGTGAAAAGCTTGGCACACTGACCTTATCTGCAGTCTGCTGTGTATAAATGCAACCAGTCGTTGTCATTTCTTTCTTATTATTCACTGGAGCTTTACGCATTCAGAAAGGTATCACGGGGATGTGCAGATGGGGTGGACATAATATTGCAACCTCGGCATCAGTGTTTTAAAGTACATGTGTGTTTTGTCTCTAGTGAGTTAAAGAAATAACTGGGTAGTCGCATGCCGGATCACAGCTGCTTATTTTCCCCCTTCTGCTCATTGCTGAGGAGTGATGCAACTGACACGAGCATTATCCTCCCCTCAGTACAGACCTCGGCCTCTTTATGAGACGAGAGCAGTGTCCCGTCCTCATTATTACTGGACCTACAACAGCTCTGTGTGTGTGATTTTACATATTGGACCCCTGATTAATACCAGCATTCATCAGCAGCTTTCTAATTGGCTTTGTCCTGCTGAGGCCTAATAATTTAGGTTATTAGGGGAGCAACATAACACGACACGTTGAGGCTTTGTAATAAATTGGAGAGAAGAGATGCCCAGCGGAACACGCTTGCAGTAGCCAATGAAGATGCAGTTGGACTTTTGTATCTTTCACATCTCCGCTGGAGAAATGTCAGCTACCTCTTTGTAGTAGCTTAAGAGAGACGTACCATTATTCCTGCTGTTATAATCAATTTTTATAATAACAAAATCAAGATGATGATGTGAAAACAATGTGAAAGGGGTCGCTTGAACCTACAGAGAGTTATCATTTGACGGTGCTTTTTAACAAGTGTCAGCTTATTGTTAAGCTGTCTGGGCCTTGACTGTTATAGTTTATTCTCACCACTCTCATAGCATTGTTTTCAGCCACAGCAGGCAGCTGCTTTCAGTGAGAGAGCTCTGATAAACTCATTGTACGTTTACCTGCTCAGCACCGCACCTATTAATTACGCGGCCAGAAATGTGGCTCCAAATAAATTATAGCAAATGTTGCTCCGTAACTGCTGAATGCAACAAGTTTGCTACATAAAAGGTGATTGAGTGGCCAAAAAAACCTGTTATTGCAGGTTAAAAGGAATAGTTTGACATTTTGGCTTGTTGGCTTTCTTGCTGAGAATAAACAAAGAAAAGATCAATACCACTGTACCACCACGGTAAATGGACTGGAAAAGAAAGAAATAGCTAACTTGGTTCTATCCACTTTTTTAAAACTCACAAATAACATGCTTTTTGTTGTTTGTTTAACCTGATGGACATCTTAATTAGTGAACTTTAGTGGTGCTGTGAGGCATTTTAGGATGAGGATTGTACTACTTTTGGACAGAGCTAGGCTAGCTTTTTTTCCTTTTCTTCCAGTCTTTGTGCTAAGCTAAGCTAACAGGCTATTGGTGGTAGCTTCATATTTACTACACAGACATGAGAGTGGTATCAATCTTCTCATCTAACTCTCTGCAAGAATTGAAAGGTAAATTTCCTGAAATGTCAGAAGAAGCAAAAGCTGGTAACTTCCTACCCCGACTCCCAAATTAGGACACCACCCACTCAATGCCAACCATTACTCAAATGGTGAAGCCCGGCCTCCCTTGTTATCCAGCTACTGGTTTTAGTACACAGAGTATACAAGCCTGGAAAAACATGTTACAACAACATCTCATGGGCTTACTTTATGTGGGATTATCTGCATCTGCAATAAGGAATGCATTTTTTTTTTTTGGTTTACCACCTCCTTTTAAGTATGTGGAGAATATTTTCTGTTTGTTTAAATCCAGTTTTGTCATGATAAAACCCCTTACACATGCAAAGACACTCTCATACCCAGTGGCCACCCATTTTTGCTGACTCATTTGGGGCTTTGCTCAGGTAGGAGAAATGCTGCCAATTCACCATCAACGTTCCTGTTTAATGACTGATGTAGTGAACATGTGGTGCTGATAGATGGAGGTTATTTGTCGAGCTTCTGTGACTAATCTACCATCTGGTCAATATGCAGTATTTTAATCAACAGTATGGAGAAGTAACATTGGGCAGATGGATAATAATGCAATCTTCCGACTGCCCTTTGTCTCACACCTCGTCTTTCCTCCTTTCTTTGCTAGAAATTAGGCATTTCCTCTGAGGTGCTGATGATTAGAGAGGTTTCCTGAAAGCTGATGGATATTTTTAATCCTCTTTACAAACACATTCCTTATGCACTAAATATGTACAGTTTTCCATGTCAAATATTTCAGTTACAGTCAGTTTAATGTTTTCTGTGCCAACTGTGTAGATGATCTTTGTATAAAACAGTATGATTATAATCCCCTTGCCAGAGAAGTGCTGGCACAGTGTAGGTAGGTGCACAGAAGGAAGGCAAAACAAAACCCTGAATTTTCTCTTAGCAGAAGCCGAAGACTTCTTCCGCCACAAAACAACGAAGATCTAATTCCTTTGACAGCGTAAGGCGTCCACCTTCATATAAATATCTCCTGGTCCTTTTTTGGGGTTTGGCTCTGTCCTCTTCTGGGGCATGCTTTGTAGAGGTAGATGGGGTACTTTCAGGTTTCATTAACCCTTTTGGAATGATATAATCTCTCTGATTATTCAATTCTTCTTCTAAACTTTCCTCTAAAGGTCTAGAGGCTTTAATTTACTATTAACTATTCAGTACAGCACATTGAAATCAATGCATTATTCTTCGAAGTTAGATTTCTGTCTCTGACCGACATTTCTCTTCCAATTACATACCATTTCACTGCTGATCATCCATGTACAGACTGATGATGAAAATCTAACAAATGTAGACCCTGGTCTCCTGATGGCACTTTATTGCCTGATATAATTATACTAATGAGGACATAAAACCTGTCTGCTGGCTTTTAGAGCAGTAGCCAGGACTTGTACTCTGTAGCCAGTGACACGACAGTCACTTTCAGATAAAATATTTCCAAGAAGGCACAATAAGTTCGAAGTGACAGCACCTGGCAGGTCTGACAGCAGCACTGTCAGACTTTACCTTTTCATTTTCTCCCAATGTCTGTGCATACTCTGGATTGGTTGAAAGGGAGAGCCATGTTTCTGTCCTGTGATAGGTGTAATATTGCAGCTCACTGGCCATCTGCTGCTCCAGGGCCCTTGTGAATGCATTTGAAGGAAATGACAGTATCCTGATTGTGTATGTCCGCATGTATAGAACACATGGACATCAGTGACTATGCTTGGAGACAACACCTTAGTAATGTTCACATGCATTCTGTAAAGATGCATGAAATTATTGCACAGTAACATGGGAATCTGGGAATTCTTTTCAGTGTTAGTTGTGGCTCTTTCTTCTCAGGCTCCTTGTTTATTTAACTTCTTCTGTGCTTTGTATTGATAGTCTCAGTTAATGTCTTATGGGAGCAACATTGGAAGAACATTATGATGCACATAGTTTAACTTGGTACAAAGTATTTTGTCTGAGAGCTTTGTAAGTATATGAAAAGCATGAATCACCTAACATTGTTTCTGTATTTTTCTCTTAGCCTTATTGCCCAGACAAAACTTTTTCTTTGCGACCATTTACATCACATTGTGAGACAGAGATGTCTGTATAAATCAGTATTGTTTTGGCTGCAGGCGTCAGGTGAGATGCAGCATCCTGCAGTCACGGGCCAATAGGAATGGCTGTAATGCTGTGGCCATAAATGAGATATAAAAGCAATCAACCATGGTGCAGCTGCTTAAGTTGCCCTTCAAATTTTATATTTATGTGTCTTTATTAAACCACTGTGACTGACTGTTCTCTCGCTGAAGGTAACCTTAACGCTTTCATTTGCTTTTGCAGGGTGACTGTAACATTTGGTGGTTTGTTGTTTAAGGCATGGGGGCATTTCTCTGTATTTTTGCTGATGAGAGGGGGAAGCTGAACTTCGATGGCTCCTACAGGTTCTCAACTCTCTCCTCTGTTCCTGTCCTCAGATCGAGAAGATCATGACACTGATTGGCGCTGGCATCGATTTCTCCAGAGATCAGCAATATGCTACACCAGGTAGAGTACGCTCATTTTATTGCTATTTCAAGTTCTTATTCGAGTTCAACACCTAGAAATTGAGATTGAATCAAAAATTATCGATGAAAGCTGAAAGTTTGAGGGGAAACGAGTGAACTCATAGTGCTAATTTTATAGCCATTTTTATTCACCTATACATTTTACCAGCGTTGCATTATTTATTATTTGCGAAGGTTTAAATGTAAAAACCCCAAATTACCCATTTGTCTGTAGGTAGAAACAGTGGTGGGCAGATTTACAATGTATTTATTTGCCTGCATTTCCTCAAAACCTTTAATCAGCCTTTCTAAGTATGTTCTGCAAATGGGTTTATTGCCACCGGAACTTCTTTGACAATCGTCTCCTTCCTTGTGTTGTTGTGGACCCATACCTCATGCTTTGTACTATACACCATACCTGTTTGGATTTGCTTTGTAATCATCTTTCAAGTTATCTGATCCGTATCAGGACCCTCAAGGGAAATCAAACAGGTGCCTGGGAGACATGGCTAATGAAGGAGGCACCCGAAAACAAATACAACAGAGAATTGGGTACAAAACTATAATGCGGGTAGACAGTTGGTCTGTTGTAATAGAGCAGATGAGGGATCAACATAAGCAGCTGCAGAAAAACGCTTTTGAATAGCTTTTTTCGTCCTGCAGTTTAGAGAATAGAAAGGTGACCCATTGGATTCATTTTACTCGTCCTTATTTCAAGGCGGTGTTGCTGTTGTGTGTTACACACTTGCTTTTAAGCCACGGGGGCCAGGCCAGGCCAAGTACTGGTCTCTAAACCAAGGTACCTGCAAGGTACCAGGTGTATTTTTATGACCAAAGTTCCTGAGAGACCCGTTATTAGGTCTAGCGTTGCACTCTGTAATGTAATGTCTTTGCGTTAAAGATTCTGTACCTACTCTCCTGTTATTCTTTCGGCTTTTCAAAAGCCTGTCGTCAGGGTTGATGGATGGTGCTCGGGGACTGTAGCAGTAAACCCCGAACAAATCGACTCCCTCCCTTCAGCTTTCACATTATTCAACATTCACCTCCAGTTTACACTTTGCCTAAGCCACACTTTAGTATATATGAGCAATGCAGTGGATCAACTACAGTATGCCTTTGCACAAAGTTGTCTGTCTTCGTATTTTACCCCTCCTGTTTGTTATGCCCTACACTGGAGTGAGCTGTTTAAATATTAACCAGCACGCTTGTCAGGGGATGAGCTCATTTTGCTCGGTATACTTGAGGAAAGCTGAGACCACTGCAGTAAAGTAGTTAGCGCCCCATCATTGGCTGTCTGGTCTGAACTTGCTCTAAGTCTGAATCCACTCTTCTGTGTATGTGAGCCTCAATCTTATAGCCGTCATGCCTACAGCTCCGTCTCAATAAAGCCGCTGTCAGGAGGCCATCAAGGGACTCGCGGTAGATGTGAGAAGCCGCATCACTTTTTTCTCCACTCTCCGATTCAGTCCAATGTTTGCCTCCTTTCAGCGTTGACTGGAGAGCAGTGATGTCCCCACTGATTGGCTCTGTGCCTGCAGTCTCTTGTACTTTTCTCCTCTCTACTGATCCACTCACTACATCAGAGTGAAACTCATGGTGGAGGAGGGTGAAGGAAACTGTTAGAAAAGAAAAGACTGATGCACAGAAGCTGCAGAAACTCGAGCGCAAATGCAAGTAATGAGTGGCGGGAGGTCTGTAGCTGAAACGGTAGCTCGCACTGACAAAGACCAGCCACCTGCAGTGTTTTTAGAGAGAGAGGGAGGGAGGGAGGAGTGGAGAAGCGTATGCAACGAGGGGGGAGAGAGGGGGAGAGAGAGAGAGAGATAGAGTGAGTAAGGGAGGAGAGAGGCAGGCAGCAGAATTGTGAACAGTCAGGACAATAGGAGGACGCCACCTCGGCATCTGTAGGATTAGGTGCTCCTCAGCCTAGAGTGGACTACAGAGGTTTTTTGTAGAAGTGGCTGCTGCTGGATGCATCTCACAGACTGAGCCAGACTGAGGAGAGACAGTTTTAGCACTCTCTTGACTGCAGAGGAGTTCATCCTGGGGGCCAGCTATTACTAAAGTGCTCTTTGTGATCCTTGACTGGATGTTTTTTTTCCTTGACACATTTCCAAGCTTCGGAATGACCAAAATTGGATTTATGGCGTGGAATCTCCTAAAACGGGATTGGTTTTGTAGCAGGTTGAATAGATGATGAGAGTATTGACAAAGGCAAAAGATGCTTTAAAATGGGCATTTTACACAGAATTTCAGGTTGTGATAACTGTTTGTTAATGTAAATGATCAGCTTTCTTTTTATACTTCATACTGTGGCTGAGATGTGGTTATCAAAAGAGTTAAAAGATAAATACACCAAATTTAGGTGTGTAAAAACTGGTTCCCACTGTAAAAGATCCGGGTTTGTTGCTTTGGAAGTGAGTTAAAACTTACCAGTAATATGTTATTGCAAGTAGAGGCAGCTTTCTGTCCTTGTACAGGTTAGTTTCCTCACGGCTCTGACTGCTGACAGCTGTCACTGTAGCTTTTTTTTCTCAATCAGTCTCAGCTGATGAAAGACGTGTCGCATGTTTTTATCTGTCCCATCACTTTCCACGCGAACACTGTCATGTTCTCAGGTAGATTCCTATCTGGACTGTGCATGGTGGATTATATGCAGAGTAGGTTAGGTCTGTGAATCTGGGATGAGCCAGAGCTTGGTAATTAACTGTCTCCTGCTTCTTGACTAAGTTTCCAAACAAGTTTCCATGTGGCTGAAACACATTAACTTTCCTGGGGGGGGGGAATTCCCCATTGTTATGGCCTGTTGTTGTCTTCTCTGAGCCCTCCGAGTTTTTCTTCATTACAAAACAAAAGCTTAATTAAATCAGTTGCAAGCCTTTTTTTGGACAGAAAATGCTACCTCCTAACATGGGATATTTTGACTTTTTTCCACATTGGATATGACTGTTATGTTACATATTGCAACAATTAAGTTAGGCACCATCCTGATTATAAGCGCTTTTGGCATCTTCCTCGCTGACTTTCATAGCTAGGAATTTTGTGGATATTAGCTGGTAGTCCACCAGCTCATATCTCTTTCCACTTCACCCCTGAGATCAGGGGTATTTGAATCCATCTTGGGTGACTGTGGTTCGGCCCCCGCCACCCCGCGGGAGCTGACGCCCTGTCCACAGAGGACACTGTCTCCCCCGCCTTCCTGTTGCTGGTGCGCTCGGCTCTGCTGGCCGAGAATGATGTGGCAATGCCACGTCTCATCCTCAGAGTGCCGCTGCTACCGGCTGAAAGGTTTCTCCCTCCTGAAGCGCTTTCCCCTGTCAGCAGGTGCTGCTGGCCGGCTGTTGGACCAGCCTGTGGGAGACTGGCTGGAGCACGTGGGGCTGCCGCAGTACGAGAGCAAACTACTCCTGAATGGTTTCGACGACCTGCACTACATGGTGAGTTCCTCCCTTAACTGACCTTGATGCTCTTGCCTGACTCTCGTCTCTTCCTCACATTTAGGATCTTTTTTTCCTTGTCTTTCACCTCCTACTTAACTCCAGTTTGTGTCATTGTGCATTAATCCAATTGATGCCAGCCTCCATTAGCAGTGAGATGATCCCATTAGCTTTGTCTGAAGTTCAATTAGCTGAAATGCTGTAATGACCCCTCCCACCATCATGAGACTGACTTGTTTTTCAGCAGAAAAGATTTTATTCTAGGAGTCATTTATTCTGGGCGGACTCAGCACATAATTCAATATCACACATTACATCACATGCTTTATAAAATTCACAATATTCTCTTCTTGATTCAATGAAGTAACCTTTCCTCTCGCTCTAGTGACAGACTCTCTGGCAAAGCATTCATTGATGCTTGCTGGATTTACATGTCCATTCAATTAGACAATATGCAGTTTTATCTGTGCTGTCAAATATTTTGTTTACAGCAACCTTAAATATCATTACACCTGGTTGCGTGTTGAATCAGGTTCATGCTGTCTCAGAGTCTCAGACAGTCTGTCTCCAGCTCTGGCGGCCGCTGTCGTGGCCTCTCACTTACAGCCAGTAAGCCGGCTGCCTGAGAAGCAGCAGATGCCCGGCCAGAATGGAGGAGCATCTCGGTGAGCAAGGGATGCTGTTGCCAAGCTGACAAGTTTATAAAGCCCACAGTGTGCAATGCCACTATGAGTTGGCTCTGTTGCTTTGGTCAGTAATGAGGACTGATGGAGGAGAGAATGAGGGACCCAGCTGGTAGCTGGTAGGCTAAGCCAGTGGGCATGTTGAGACAGCCATCTTATGTGTCAAGATGAAAACTCTTTCCTCCTCTGTCAAACCTATCATACAACTTCTCTTTAACACACAATGAGCCACGTGTGTGCTGGTTTTCATCCCTTCCAAACACTTAATTTAACTTCACTGTCACGTGTTCGGTGAGATGTAGCTACAGGCAGACAGCAACTCTGTGACATTCTTGTGTGTCTTCACATGTACAATAGTATAAATTATGTTTTTATTATTATTCTTGTCAGATCCATGTATGTGCTACACATACATTCTCAAACCAAAGTTTAAACTAAAACTCAAAAACTAAAGACAACCAGACATTTACTATGCAATCAGAAATCAGAGTAGTTATTGTTTTGTTAAGCCGATTAATGGAAAATGTACTCCTTTAAATCATCATATTTTGTACGACACAAAAGAAATGATGTTAAAGATAAAAAAAGAACAGTTAGTATGTGAGCTGCTGTATGTCTGTTACAGACCCAAAGGTAGAAATCCTGTACAGTACACAACAATCCAGCAGCATTCAACTCAATACTCATTACAAGAAGTTGGACCACCTTTTGTACCTGAACTGTACCCTTCTGTAGACATGCATACAACATGTGAAGGGACTGCATTTGTAAAAAGGACGGGACATGCCTGTGCCAAACATTGCATGTTTAACCTCTTCACAAATCGGTGGTCTTGCGCTGCTTTATAAACGTATTTGTTCAAATGTTGAATATTCAAATTAACAGAAAATTAATTCAGTTTAGTGAGTCAACTGTGCAGCTGGCACAGTGAGGGAAATATGGCCACATTTGTGACCTCAACTCTCCATATGTTACCTCTTGATTCGATCACAGTGCTGCCTATCAAACCTTAGGGGAAAACCTTTTTTTTTTTTTACCTGTTATCCGGTGGTAGGTTGTATCTTCAAAGGTAGTTTCATGATTCTCCAGATGTTTTCTGTCTGCTTGGAAGAGATCAAAGATCAGATGTTTGCCCGGGGTGAAACCGATGTTTAAATCCCATATTTCCACAGACTGGCAGGCTGCGAAATGGTTCAATCTTGGGCAGCTACCTCAAAAATTACAACAACAGCCACCAATCCAAAACCCTCAATGAAATTAATATAGTGTACAGTATATACAGTAGGGGGGTTGATAAATCCTGCCAAACTTCATGAAACCTAATATGAGCCACCTTTTTCTCAGCAAGTCTAGTGATGAAGTTGTAACCCTTTTCATCTGGTGTTTTCATTGTTTTGACTTCTACCTGTACATCTTAGTTGAAAGGTGACAACACTGTCTTGTTTATGTCTTGCCAGATGACAGTCAGTTTTAATAGTTGGTTTTTGGTATTTAATGTGTGGTATGTAGACTTGTACATATTGCAAATCAGAACTTCTTGGTCTTACTAAACCTCACTGGTGTGCATGGACATCAATGAAATATTGATCCATCTTGCAATCCAGCCCTTAATATCAACACACCAATGTTTTACTGTTATGGATAGCATCATAAATTCAAGCTAGGAACTCTACACTGATGAATACCAAAATAAATGAATGTTCCTTGCTCTTATATAGCATGGACTTCCTATAGCTATAGGAGCCAGCTGTGTCAGATTAATTTCATTGTACAATGGTGCTTGCATGAATAATCTTTAATCTGCTTTACATAACCTGGGAGTAGAGCATTCCTCCATCTATCTACCACTCTCCCTCTCACCCGGTGTCATCAACACCCATGTTTAATTCTGTGTTGAAGCCTCTGAAGTTACTCTCAGGGTTTAATCTTCCTACTGTCTTTTTTACTCTTTCACACTCTCCTTCCTCAGCCCTGAGTCCTCTTTTTTTTTCTTTTTTTTTTCCCAAAGTGGAGCCTGCAATTTTTCTATCTTTAAACACGGCTTACCGACCACCTGGCTTCCCGAAAATCGCTGGAGGATTTAGAAAAAAGCTGTAACCTTTTAAATGGCGTGTCCTTCCTTCAGTAAATTTTGACCTTTTTTAAGAATCTCAGTTGGAAATGAAAATTACCCTCTGAGTCACCTTGTCTTTGCTAAACTTTTCTAATTGTGTTTAATGTGCTATTGTGGGTCAGAGTGTATTGAAGAGGAACAGGCTGTTTCATTATAACCAGGCAGAATTGTTTTGTCTAATTTTATTAGTAGCACCAACCTTGTGGCACATCATTTACTGGTTCTTTTAGAAATGTTTCTTTATTTTTCATGTAATTCATACAATTAATTCCCGTAATTACCAAACTGATCCAGTGTATCAGCTTTAAATAGCACACAAACTCATATTTACACTTAGATATTACAGATATGTACCATTGCTAGAGACTAAAATCTAATGAGGAATATGATACAGCCATATTTCTATAGTTGAACTTACACTAGACAGTCAATAAGTTAAATTCATGTACAGACAGAAATAGTCTTTAGTCATCTTCTTTCATCATCACATGGAAGAATTTGGCATCCACTGATCATCACATTGTACCAGCACACTCTAAAATGATCTGCAGGCTTCTTTTAATCTTACCATAGTTATGCAATACATTGAAAAACAATGGTTGAGAAACAGTATGTCAGCTGTAACAGTGAGATCACTAATTAAACAGTGTTTACTCTGTCAGTCAGACTGCTGTGATCTCTGTCTACCCTGCAGGCTCGCTCTAGAAGTGGATCAATAACAGCAGTGATTGTGTTGTGTTCAAGCACCGAAGCAGAGACAAGCCTCTTCTGAAACCAATTAGATGCTTTTTATCGACTCATGGAGCAAATGTCCCGATGAAACAAGCTCTGTGTGGCCATGCTGTTCTCCAGTCCTCACTGGTACCGACAAGTAATGCTTGTTGAAATGAAACCGCTCCTTTTCTCTCAGCCCTACTCCCGAGCTTCTGGTGGCTATATCGTCAGCTGTGACAGCGTCAGCCAAGTTAAGTTTGTATTCGAGGCACCGATGCGCTTCTGCAGGGACATTATCTTATTTGAAGGTAGCAGACATAGAGCCAGCTAGAGAAGACAAGACGCAACATTTCCTTTAAGTTTTAATCCAGTGGAGGTGACTCAGTGCAGATAAAAAAAACATTAATTTATACAGAAAGAGCTTGGTTTTAATCTTGGTTTTCTGTCCTCATTGTTATTTTCTGCCTTTAAATTAATGCAAAGTGGTTATGCTGGAAAGAGTCAATGCCTCCAAAGCCTGCAGACAAATTGGAAATTCAGTAATGGCTTCATGCATTAGAAGCTCAAGGATTGGGAATGGATTAATTGATTTTTTCTGTTGGGGTAATGGTGGTGATGTATTGTCCATTTACCCGTTTGAAAAACATTTGTGCAGGAATTAGATGGAACACATGGTTGATTTTTTATTATGCTTGCACACTCTGTCACAGTTTCCTCTTAGCCTTTTTCACAGGCCCGTGTGGTCTTATGACAGCCTGTTTAGTAGGACAAACGATGATTTTCAGTGCTGCTGGTTAGCTGTCCTTTAGATGGTCGGGAGGAGTGATCCGTGCCCTCGAGCCCCTGGCCTGAATTCAGAGTGCTTTCAAACCAGAGGGACCGCTGTGGCTGTGGATAGGTGGAGGAGAGAGCAGCATTTTAATGAGAGGACAGGGGAAAGCAGAGATGGATGGGCTGCACAAGCACAGACAAAAAAAACACCTAGTGTACACCAATCTGGATATATTCTTTTTAGCCATGTTGTGCTGATGCAAGCTTTGTCTCAACTAATGTATTCTCACTTTTAGACCTGCTGAGCCTGTGGTGCGGAGAAAGTGGAGCCACATTAGTCAGAATTTTCCACCACGTCTGTCAAGTCACCCTGTTTGTGCTTTCAAAGTCTTTGTGTGGGAATAAATTGATTATCAAGACATAGAGAGGTGGATGTAATATTTATGTTGTAGGAGATGGGAGTTTCATCAACTGTGCTACCTTTCAAAGACTAGATGGTCCCCTTTTAAGCATCTTTCCCCTTATAAGTTTCACATTTAAAGTCGCCACTAGGGTTTGGTTCAGAATAGGAAAACGTGGAGTAGGGCTGCAACTAACAATTACTTTCATTATCAATTTATCTGACGGTTATTTCCTCAATTCAATATTGAATGGTTCATTATAATTTTGTGTGTCTTTTTTCCCGAAAAATTTCTCTGTTGATTTGTTTTATCTGACCT